TATTTGAAAATTTGACATAAAAAATTTTATATAAATATTTTTCTTTATTTAATATTATATCACATTATATTTTCGGATGGGCCTAATAAAATAGATGCAAATGAATGGGACCCTTAGGTCTGGCCGACGTGGCATTATTTATTTTTGTCCTAATAAAATTAATTAGTCATTAATATCAATTACATCAGGGCCAAATCATTCCACTTTCGTCACAACAATCTTATAAGCATGATATTCCTTTTTTGTCATGACTTTTTCTGTTACGATGGAATGCCACATTATTATTAGAATAAAACACTCAAAGACCCCACACGATTGAGAAGTTTGGTTTTCCAACAAACCAAAAAAACCATAGATTGGTTGGGTTTTATTTAAAAGATATTGAATTTCATTATTAGACTTTTGATAAAAGGGAATATATATTAGTAGTGCAATGATATAATATCCCCGGATCCTTTTTCATATTTTTTTCTGATTATTCTTTAATTTTTAAAGAGAAGCATGGATATACAGACACAAATGCATTGCACAGACATTAGCCGACCTTGCTTATAGTAAGTTTGAGAAAAAAATGCATAGGAATTTATTGAACTTAAATATTTTTCTCCCACATCTTTGTGATGAGATGAAAAAAATGTGCTGTCAATACATGTTGTAATGGCTGTTAATAGTTTCACCTTAAGTTATTAATAACTGCATTTTAGTTGTCAACATGAGAAAAAGTATTATTAATACCTAGTATGATAGTTGTTAATTATTGCATATTAAACTGTTAATAACTGCTCTTTCAGTTGTCAACGTGTATTTAAAAAACAAAAGATGAGGGTATTATAGTAATCGAATAGTAGAATCTCTTAAGGTCTTTTGGAACTCCAGATTAGTTTAATAATTTTAAGAGATTTTTTTGTAGTTATTTCTCTTAAATGAGATCTTAATGCAATTTTTTCTAAAATTAAATATAGTAACTACCAACAAAGAGTGGTCCTAGTAGAAGTAGCTTCGACTTCTTAAGTATATATGGGTCTCGAATTTGAGTTGAAGTGAATATATAAAATACTTCTAAGAGAGCTAGTTTCAATTGGGTTCAATAATACTCGAGCACCTAATCCCCCACTAACTGGTGATGTCTTGTTACCAGTCAATTTGAAACCTTCAAGCTCCATTTTATTTTATTGATATGCGCGCATGGCACAACTATTACGCTCATCTTTTTGTCTTTTTAAGAATTGGACTTTTCTGGTTTTCACGGATACTATTAACAATCACGATTAATATATTTATGACCATTCATTTCATAGATAATAAACAACTTATTATGGTCCGCTTCTCTTTCCCTATATATATCCAGACAAATCCCCCACTTTTCCTATGTAAATTTCATAGTCTCACTTTCTTATATATTCCTTAAAAGGTAATGTATGGTAAAAATGTTTTATCTGAATCAAAATCTATTTGACAATAATTTGACACAATCCAATAACTAAACTATGAACTAGTATTTGAGTATTTTAACTGGCTTTAGTCGCTAATTGATAGTCCACTTTTTAGTATATGGTTTTTTCTGAAAAGGTAATGTATATGTTTTTTTTTCCTGAATTTTTAATTGGCGATTGAACCCCATACATATGTTACAAACGACACTTCTTTTGTCACTGGACGCAATGGTCAATTTGCAGCATATGGGTTTTAGTAGCAAGTTTAATTGATTAAAAAATGACTTTGATTTTAACTTTTTGCTTTTAAATATATATTCCTGAAATAGAAAAGAACGAATTTGCCCCTTTTTCAACCAAGAAAAAATTTACTCATAGTTCAAGTGAAATATATACAATTTTTTCTTATAACATATTTCACAGTTCAGGTCTAGTGTCGTACTCCTCTAGTTTTATTTATAGGATAGAGAGAAAATTTTTTTTGATCCTATTTATAAGCCACTTCATTAAACTTTTAGCAAGAATGTATTATTTTATTCTTCATTTATTACAGTGTGGATAGTTATTTTTGAAAGGTGTATATATTAATTAAGGGTAAAATTGGAAAGTTGTTATATATATTTTAATAGAGAGTTAATGTAATTTAAGATTTTTCTTAGTTTGTTTGAACAATACTGAAAGTGTTTTATAAATAGGACCAGATGAGTAATTCATAATTCCTATTAGGATTGTGGTATACCAAGATTCAAATCCTGCTGGATCGGGTCTAACAAAAGATGTTAATCTCCCACAATATGATAAACTAAGGTTTAAAATCCCGTTGGAAGGAGTGTCCATATTCAGTACCTGATAGTACCTGGGATAAGGTTACCGAGGATATTTGTAATTGCAAAAAAAAAAAATCCTATTATTATGGGGAAAAAAATTCTATCACTTGCAAAGTCCTTTTAAAAGATTCCTATTAAGATGTCTTATCGAAGACAACTTTACAAAAATTGATGACAGGCTTGATTTTTAATAAGCTTATTATAAATATTAATGATCGTGCATGTTGCTATATTTATCACTATTGAAATATTAGTATATAGCAAATATATAGTCTCTTATAATAATAAGTTCTGGTTACTTGTAATATAATTGAATCTGTTAGTGTTGGAAAAAATATCAATATTTTGAGGTTAAACTGCTCGACAATAATTTACATAATTGACAATTAATAATTTGACTATAATATGAAGTGTATACGTTTGGAGGGATTAAAGTGCCATTGAGAAAATTCAATTTTTAAAATTCAGTTTTTTTTTTGTATTGGGAAAATTGTGGTTTGAGAGACAAATAAACTCCAATTTAGCAAGAGTAGTCAAAAAAATAGTAATGAAAACTGGCTTGTGAAATTGAGTTTAGGCCTTCAAACTAATATCCAAACACATAAGTAGCCGTTGATTTTTTGTCTCCTTGATTTTTTGCTCAAAGATAATCAATAGTTAAATAATATCACATAGGCAAGAAATAACATAAGTAAAAAAAATTAATTTTGCAATTTTTTTATAATAAAGAAACATAGTAGTGATCATGATGATTCTAACTAAAACTTCAGGACTAATTAAGGATTTGTTTGATTTCTGTTTTTAAAAATTATCTTCATTGTTTTAAGAAAAAAAGCACAAAAACACTCACTTGAGTCTGGGTGGGTGTTTTGCATCTAAATGTTTTCAAAACTGTTTTCATTGTTTCTTATTCATTTTTGTATATTAGAGGGGCAAGCAGTAACAGTCTAAGGTCACGAACGAGACCGAACTCAAGATTTCGCACTCATAGTGAAGCTTGCATGCCATTGGATTATAAATCCATTCACTTTCATGTCACTTTTAAAAATAATAAATTAAAATGGAAACTAGGATTTTTTTTTTGTTTTCTCTTCTCATTCTAAAAATAAACTACTTCTAGTTTTTAATATAAGACCCAATTGATCAATTTGAAAAAAATTAAGGAAACTAAAATATTACTTTAGTGTATGTATATTTATCATTTTCTCCAAATTAATTTACCTAACTTATATTTATGTATAATCTAAGGGATAATGTACGAATTTGCCCAGGAAGTACATGGCTAGGAACTATGGTCCTGTTTGGTACGAAACATTAAAAATAAGAGATTGAGATTAGGACTACAATTAGGAAAAAAAATCATTAAAATAGTATTTAGCATGAGTGATTGTTTATTATGTGGGATTAGGCAAACCTATAGAAGTGGGATTGGGGAATACCACTTCCCCCATAGTATTCTCCAATCCTACATACATAGGTTTGGCTAATTCCATATAACAAGCAATCTTTTATAGTAAACACTCTTTTAATAGATTTTCTCAATTACAATCCCAATCCCAGTCCCAATCCCAATCCCTCATTTTCAATGCTTCCTACCAAGCGTATCATATGGGTATTGAGAAGTTTTTAAAATCTCAATATAGTTACAAAAACATAGCAATGTCGCCCTGACTAATATCTCATTTAATTTTGACTATTGAGTTTGATCATACTGTAATGTTCATCCTTCTTACGAGCTTTCGCTGCGACAAGTAACACAGAATGCAGATACTGAAATTTCTGAAATATTAACAACAACCATCCTTAATCATGGTTGACCACTACCTAAGGCTGCCTCATCGATCGGTGTCAATTGCCACCATCTATTGATGGCGGTGATCGATTAGCAGCGATGGTTGGAGGTGGCTACTGGTGATGGTAGGAGGTGATCAGTAGCGAGAACTATAGAGTGGTAGAAGGCAGCAATAGCCATTAGCCAATCATGATCAATGGGCAGGAGATGATTGATGGCAAAAGATATTTTTTTCAAATAATTTTTTTGTTTTAACTTTTAAAAATTGATTTATAAAATATTTTTAAAATACTGAATTGGAACAAAATCACAACAGGCTTAAGTTTTCTAACACAAACACTCCATATATATTGAAATTTGAAAAGTTAAGCAATATCTGTGCATTAATTAGCAAAATACGTATAATTATCTACAAGTATTATGTCCTTAATTTGCCATCAAAATATATGTGCGCTTTTGTGTGTTATTGGCTTTGAACGCGTGTTCTTTAATTTCACCATAGACTTGCATTGTGGCAAGCTGCATCAGAGATTTTTTTGTGTATAAATAAGGCATAGCCTTATTGGGACTCTCATTCCATCTAATATTATATTTAGTAGGAGCTTTCTTTACTTTTCCATTTCTTTCTTTCTTTCTTCTTGCTTCTGGGCTCAAGTCCAAATCAGCCTTCAGTTCTTTTCCTCCTCCTTTTCAAGTGATCAGGTAATTTAGATTTTAGTACTCCGAAACATGACATATCATATTCTAGTTGGTAGTTTTTAGGGTGTTGATTGATCTCCTCCTCCTCCTCCTCCTCCTCTCATTAATTGCTTTGAAAAGTTCACCTCTTTTGTGATCTGTTGGAAATCACTGATCGATTTAGTTCTGTTTTGTAGGCTATATTCGAAGGTTGTGTATGCCATTGCTTGATACTTTCTAAATTTTTTGGGAGAGCAAGTTAATTAGCCTGCTCAATCGGTTATTTTTGTGTTATGAGTGTTTGGTGAGTTACTTACAAGAAATTAATTCTTAATAATGAAAAGTCTAAGTGAATCAGATCTTTTAGGCTCACCAAAGTCCAAGAATAAGGTTTCAACACTCAAAAAGCGCTTACCCATGAAAGCAGATTTTGCTGCGCTTGGTTTTCTTCCATTGTTCTAAAGTATATATCTAAACCCCCCCCCCCCCCAAAACAAAAAAACACACACACACAGACACACGCACATTATGTGGACAGTCATTACAATCCGAAAGTGCAATAAGTTTGGCCTTTTCTGAGGGCAAATCTAGCGGAAATATATTTTCCTGCAGCAGTTTCTGAGTCTTGGTTGAAAAAAAGGGCGAAAAATTATTTGATATGGGCGGATCAGGTAGTATGAAGTTCTTTGAAAAGAAACATAAACTGAAGAGAACATTTAATAAAATTATTGAATAGGACTTTTTGGTTAATAATTTATCTGAAAATTGGTTGTTAAAAAGTACAGTGGTACACCTACTGAAACAAGGCTGGTTGTTATTGTTGTATTTTCTGAGTCTTTGTTAACATTCTTCCATGAAAGGTCCTATTTCATTCTATGCTTTCTTATTATCTTACAATTTCTTAGGAAAGCTACAAGCAATCGATAATGGATTATGAGCCTCCATTGCTAGAAGCCTACAAGACGCTTCTCCAAAGCTCGTCACATAAGAGAATGAAGAATGTGAAATCAACATCATCAATATTATCAAAAGTACTAGAGAGTAGTGGTGAGGTGCCTGTGATTGATCTGGGCCGTTTAAATAGTACTGACCATCTTGAAAGAGAAGATTGCATGAAGGAAATCATTGAGGCTGCTAAACAATGGGGTTTTTTCCAGGTTGTGAATCATGGCATCTCACAACACCTCTTGCAGCAGCTTCTGTTAGAGGAAATCAAAGTGTTTCACAGGCCTTTTGCAGATAAGTCTCAACAATTTTCCACAACTACTCATTACAAGTGGGGCAACCCTTTTGCTAGTAATCCTAGGCAACTCCTATGGTCAGAAGCCTTTCACATATCTGTTCCACTTGGACAAACAAATATGGGCGACGACCAACCCAAATGTCTGAGGTGAACATTATAAGATATATAATTTGGTGTATTTTAATTAGATCGATGCTCCTTCCTGTGATCTTAAACAATAACTAATGGAGATGCTTGTTTTGATCTTAAGTGTAACATTTCAATTCACTTTGTCTCTCTTAAATTTATATTTTTTTCCTCTGAAACTCTTCCTATTGATTGTATATATTAAGAAGGTTTTCTATCAAAAGAATAGTTTCCAATGCCAATGATTAAAAATGATACCAAGGCAGGGAACTAATGACACACATTTTTTCTAATAATAACTTGATTAATTTTCTTGCTCTTTACTAATTAATTATCTGGTTTCTTTATTTTCAACATCTTTAATTAATCAGACAATATTACTAATAATGAATTAATGCTTAGATCAATTATTGAAGCATTTGCTAGCAAGGTGGCTGCTTTGGCAGAAATGTTGGCGGAAATTCTAAGTCACGAGTTGAACATCAAATCCAGCTATTTCCGAGAAAGGTGTTTGCCAAACACGAGTTTTCTTCGGCTAAATAGATATCCACCATGCCCCATTCCCAAGCAGGTGTTTGGGTTTTTGCCTCACACTGACTCCACTTTCCTCTCCATTGTGTACCAAGACCAAGTTGGGGGATTGCAATTGATGAGAGATGGAAAATGGCTTGGAGTGAAACCTAATCCTCATGCTCTCTTGGTCAATATCGGTGACTTATTTCAGGTATGTATTATATGTGTATATAACTCGTGGTCAATATTACTTTGTACTCTAGGATCCCATTTGATACGAAGCACAAAAATGAGGGGTAATGATTGTGATAGGTGTTAAAAAATATTAAAGATTGTTTGGTATGAGTAATTTTTTGTTAAATGGGATTAATACTGATTAGGCAATCCTATTTAAGTCGGATTGGTGAATACCACCTTTCCTATGGTATTTCTCAACCCCACATTTATGGATTTGCCCAGTCTCAAATAACAAGCAATCATTCATACTAAATATTCTTTTAACACGTGATTTGATTTTAATATCAATTCTTAGCCCTCCTTTTCAATGCTTTGTACCGAATGAGACCTCAGAGTTTACTATAGACTTTATTTTAGTCTCAAATATTAGACTTCAATTGATTTTTTTGGACAAATTTATGATTCTTCTGTTTTTTAATATAAAAGCTATACTTAATTAATTTGAGTGGATTAAGAAAGTTAAATAAGTTAGTTAATTATAACAAATATGAAATAAGTTAGTTAAATGAGAGGTTTGCAACATTCTATTCTTTCCTATTTCCTTCTCTTCCATTATCATCTGTCCAGGCCTATAAAGATTCCCTGCATAATGAATATTGATGGGAAGAGAAACTAAGGAGGAATATTAGTTAATATATATTATGTAAAATTTATAAGACATAATAATATGGCTAACCTTAAACTGGAATGCATAGAAAAAACATGTCTAATTTTTCTGTATGCCTTTTTTACACATTTTTTCTATATACTACATATAAAAGGGTTTGATGCGGCGAAACCGAACAAAAATAAAAGAATTTCATAGAACTCTGAAAGTGATATTTTTAATATGGAATGACTTGCTTGGCTTCCCCCTCTCGTCATGACACTAATCAAGTGCGCCGAGAAAACTACAGTGAGGGAATTAAGAATGATAATAATTAAGGAAGGAAACAAGTTGTCTACAAACCCCACAAGAACTGGGCAAGCTAGGTTATTACTTTACTTAATATTAGGGCTTTCTCTAGTGACAGAAGCTTGAAAACATATTTAATTACCTTTGAAGTTTGAATATACAATACGCGCGCGCGCGCGCGCACACACATATATATGTATAGGCACAAACAAACATATACGTGTTTATGCAGGCACTGAGCAACGGAGCATACAGAAGCATAAAACATAGAGTGGTGGCTGCAAAGAAGGAAGAAAGGTTCTCTGCAGCATATTTCTATAGGCCTTCCAATGACGCAGTGATAGAGAGCCATGGCACCCCCCGGCTATACAGAAGCTTCACTTTCAGAGAGTACATACAGCAGAATGAGAAAGATTTGAAGCAAACTGGTGATAAAGTGGGCCTCTCTAGGTTTCTTTATGTGCAATAACCTTAGTGATGCAAAAATTACCAGGTCTCTCCAGAATTAACGGATATTAATAATAATACTATAGAGATTGCAGTTTGGGCATTGGTACTATAGTTATCTTCAAAAGTGGTACTAGAGTCGTTGAATGTTGTGTGGAGCTCGCCTTTTTTGTATATAAAGTCAAAAGTACTTTATAGCTAAATTATGAGCCCGTGCTTGACAAGGTAATCAAGCAAAGCCACAATATCTATAGCTTACGAACAACACAGCCTTTTAACCTTTTTATTAGGGAGAATTACGAGCAGGTATCAAAAAAGAGATTTAATTATTCTAAAGTCTATTAACAAGTGAAGGGGAAGTAATGACAAGTTCCAAAATAGATAATGATAATAAGTTCATGCTGGTCACCTGTTATTAGACTTTTGTGGTAATTATATTTCTTTCTTGGGACATCTTGATAATTCTCCCTTTTTATTTTTCCAAACACAGATTTAAAAACCATGGAGACAATGTTCTTCATGAACAAGACTTCAACCAAACATCTTGGTTGAAAAAAAAGGAACAAACTAAATTAAACTTCTTGCACACAATATGTATTGATGACCGGCGATAGAAATTTTTTTACTGCCAAAGCGACAAATAAATTTTCTATTTAAAAAAATTAATTTCCAAGAAAAAACACGTAACTATTGATACCAATTAGCATGCTTGCAAGAAATCCTTATCAGAAATTTTATCGATAACAAAAATGATATTTACCTTCAACAATATGGGTTGTTATTTTTAAGTTTAGGGAAAAAGGCCAAGCTAGTATTTAATGGTCGGTGGCTGAATGGTTTCAGGTGGCGGATTGTATGGCAAAGATGTGGCCAAAAAATTGAGGACCATATAACCCACCATGTATACCCATGAATGCATATTCTTGGACGACATATCAGTATAATGGACTTGAAGATGAAGATCAATGTGCACCAAATGGTTGGATGATCGGCCAAAACTTTCTGTCGTTTTTATGGCGTTAGGGGCATTGGCAGCCATTACTGGAGAGCAAACGGAAAAAATAGCTTGGGGTTTTGCTGATAGTGAAAGCAACTTTTTGTGGAAGGCGAGAGAACGTGTAGAAGCTATGCTTCCTCATAACGTTCTCTGCAGAGAAACACAGAGAAGTTTGGTGCTTTCATGGTGGCTATGCCTCTGTAGAGAGATCAAAGTACCAATTCAAACTTGTTAAGGATGTTTGGAAAATAGGAGTGGGGGCTCAGCTTGATGAGAAAGTGATTATTGAATAGTAATGTTGAAGAATTTTTGGGACAACTTATCTCATTTAGTCGTGGAACCAACAGTAATGGGTAAAGTGGAAGGAACTTGATTCTCCAAAACAATGATGAGAGTTCAAATGGATGGAGGAAAAAAAACTGAACCCATATTTGAATATCTCACTTTGATAATATTGAATCTCATATAAAACGTGGTTGAAAAAAAAAAAACGTTACGGAACAAATGGTGGAGAGAATAAAATTGAGGAATATGGTCGAAAATATAGAATAGCTAGAGTGAACATTTTAACTTCTTAAATGTTACTCTTTTAATTTTAAATGTAAGACTTATTTTGTAGTGAAAAACCGGAGGAATACTGTATGATTGCGAGGATGTATTTTGTTGCCTTGACTTGTTTGCTTAGGTTCTGTGAATTTTCAATCTTCAATATATCTTTATGATTTGTATTGGTATTAATAAGATGGATTTCTGTTTTGGTCCAAAAAGAAATCTTTATTTTATTTTTGTAATGGTCGTTTCACAAGTAGATTATTATTTCTTAGCATGCCAGTCAATATCCAAAAATAAATACTTAATTAGTCTTTGCTAACTAAGTCATCGGGGCAAATTGATGTGTTACTTCCTGTAAGTTTTTTTCATTAATTTTGAAATCTAGTTTAATTCAGTTTTTTTTTCTTAAGACAAAAATGCATCCCTTTATACTCACCGAGACCCTCCTTGTGGCTAGAACCTTCATTTGTTTTTATATTTTGTTTTTCCCCCTAAAAAAAGAGATTGTTATTTGTCTATATTAAATTCAAGATTAGATTAATTGTTATTATTCGTTTAATCATTATCTATAATATTCTACATTACTTTCAAAGCTCCAAAACAACATTAACTGCAAGAACAAATTAACTCAATTGAAACTAGCGTTTTGGGTGTGTTAAGATTAGTGGCAGCAAAACTGACTTTTATTCTAACTAACTTTTGTAAACTTAAATTCAAGTAAAAGTTAGTTAGTACAATGTGATTTATATTTAGATTGGTGTTTGTAAAAAATCAATTAAAAAAATTAAAACTTGATTGGATGATTAGTAGAAAAGTAAATTTATTTGTAAAATGACTGAAAATGACATGAGTTTTATAATACACATAAATATTTTAGAGAGATTATATAATATATAATATAATTAAGTAATTTATTTAGCTTCCTTAATTTTTTCAAATTAGTCTATTGAGATCTTATATTAAAGAGTGCAAGTAATATATCATATATATACAATTTGATAAATTCAAGAAAAATATTAAATTAAAATAATTAATTTTTATTAGGTAATTTTTTCTTTTAGAAAAAAAAAATCAAACTACTGGGTGAAGATAAGACCCACCTAAATACTCTTATGGATTGAAGGTGTTCCAATTTTCCTTGGCAAAAAAGGGGGAAAAAAAAAGGGGGAAGGCATTCCAATTTTCCCTAAATTTTATAATACATTTGTTTTTAAAATATGACTTCGTGAAGTTGGGAATGAAACCCAAGGGAATAAGGTCAAAGCATAGCCTCTTTGCAGTTTGGACTCCACTGTCCTGGAATGAGTAGCGGGAAAGCTGGAATGTAAAAGTGCTTTTTTTTTTTTTAAGTGCTTTTTCATTTGATTTTGGTCAAAACAGACAGATATTTTAAAAAACCTTAGTTTGGCCCAAAATTATGGTTTCATAAAAAAGCAAAAATGTTTTTTTTGAAAATGGGGTCTTTTTTTTTTTTACATTGTAATACTACCTCTAATTTTTAGTATAAGAGCTAGTTGACTAATTTGAGTAAATTAAAAAAATTAATTAAGTTAGTTATTTATAATAAATAGATATTGTCTTTTCTAAAATATCCTTTCTAATCATGTGTATTTGTTAGAAGTACCATTAGATGAAATATTTAATATGTGTAACCGCTATAAACACTATTTTAAAAAAATAGATAAATATGAGAAATAAAATAGATTGAGGTTTTATATTTAAGACCAAGTTGAATATCAAAATAACTCTTATATTAAAAATCAGAGTTAGTATGTTGTTTAAAAAAAACTAGTTATGAAAAAATATTATGGTATTTCATATTTTAAATCTTTAAGGCAAAATAATATTTTTTTGTTGGCAAAAAAAAATTATTTTTCTAAAAATATTTAATCTTATATTTATAAATACATATACTCATATTAATTATTTATTAATTATATTTTTTTATATATTATTTATTATGTTAGTTAAAATATATTATTAACAAATTTATTATTTTAAATAAAAATATATTATAAAATCTATCTTTGATGTAATTATCATATTAAATCATGTCTTTTTTAGTAATTTGTATGTATAAAAAATGCTTAACAATTATCTAAATACTCTCACTTTATCAAAATTATTTTTTTACAAAATCTATTCTTCCAAGATCTATTCTCAAAAATAACTTTTTTTTTTTCAGAAACTATTATCTAAATCATAGTTTGATTTTATACCATAAGCCTATTATATAACAATGCTAACCCAAATATAACTTTTATGCCAATCCACTCAAAAACAAGCTACTTTTGGCGGTACAGGAGTTGCCTTGGGACTTGCTGCTGTGATCCCAAACCCATCCGAAGCCTTCTTCTTCAATATGCTCCAGTGTTGATGGGGATGAGTTTGTGTTTGTCCATCTCCTCTCCAAAATAATTATCACCAGCAAAAAATACAAAAAAATACATATTAAATATTAAATTTTAAAAAAGATAAATAGATAATGTTAAATATGTTTGTAATGATTTTGACTACTCTTGTAAAAGTTTTGAAAAATTAAAATCTGTCATAATCATGTATTTGTCATTTTAAAATTCAACGTGTATTTTTATTTTTATTTTTTCTTGTGACATGATATCTTAAAAATCATCAATAATGGAACTTGTTAGGGCCGCGTGCGGCTCGGATGACCCGCGGATGCGGAATGCTTTCCCTCGTGCCTTGTTAAAAAAAAAAAAAAAAGTTAAAGAATATATTTTAGTCTTTAAAGAGTATATTTTTAATTATTTACCTTATATCATGTTTTAATTTGATGTTTAACTTTATAAAGTACACTTTTAGTCTTTTAATACTAAATTTATTAACAAAAAATAATAATATTGAAATTTAAATGCTAATAAAATATTGTCGAATGATAAAACTGAACTTGTAAATAAGAATACATCTTGTAAAAATTTCTTATTTAGAATTCATTAATTCCAAATTTTTTTATAGGATTCTACCTATTAATTTTTATTTTTAAAATGATTATAATTTGATTGTTATAAAAAATCATTATTTAATATTAATATTTTATAGTGAAAAGAATAAAAATATACTTTTTAAAATTGACAGAACAAATTAAAATATTATATAAAATTAAAAAATAAAAATTATAATTTTTCAAGAAAAAAATTCATTTTTTGAGCAAAGATAGCCACCAAAAAAATTAATTTTTCTAAAAATTTGTTGGAAAAAAAAAGGGGAAATCACAAATAAAGACCCTCGAATTAGCAAAATCACTCTATGGTCACCTGAATATGCTAAATTACTATGAGGGACCCGGCCTCAAATTGTAATTATGAAATCATGGCCAAATTACCAAAATACCCCTATTTAATTTTTTTTTTTTAAAAGAAAGCCATTGCCTCACCGGAATCCGGCCACCGGCGCCGGAGCTCCGGCGCCCGCTTCCGGCCACTGTCGGCGGCCGGACCCCGGCGTCCGGCCGTCGGAGCTCCGGCGCCGGCGGCCGCTTCCGGCGGTCTTCCTGTGTTTTTTTTTTGAAACTGTTTTTTTTTTTAAATTGGGGGGAAGTGAGGTTAGGGGGATTTGATCCCCCAACCTAATACTTCCCAAAATAAGGAATGACCATTGAGCCAACAAATTTTTGTTAACATTATGATGCAAAAAAAAATATAAGTTAACTTATTTACTCT